AAACTTTCCAGTGGGATGCGTGATAGTTGAACCAATTCTCGGCGATAATGGTAGCAGAGCGCATGATCTCGTGGCGAAGGAAGTGGGGATGGTCGTCGGCTAAGTCGCCCAGGACGTCGTGCACAGACAAGAGCGTGTTGTAGAAGCTCATCGCGAGAAATTGAGCACTAAATCGTGCATCCATGTCGTAGGGATCACCCGCGGGGGAAGGATGAGGAGTCGCAGGAGGATCGGTAGGAGGCGCGGGCGAACCACCCGGAGACGCGGCCCTGGTAGGCGCAGGAGAAGTCGGGAAGAGTCGTCGACGAATGGACGGACGAGTTGGGATACCGGGCGAAGAAGAAACGGCATGATGCGGCGTGGAGTACACCCGGCGAGGAGCAGGATCCACGATGGAACGAGGAGGCCCGGCCAAGGCTGGAGTAGAATAGGGAGCAGCTGATGCAAAACGCACCGCGTGTACGTACGGAGGTGGCGGGTAGCTGGGGACTTCGTCCTCTTCTACCTGGGCTGCTTGGTGCGAAGGATAGGCATGCTAAGTAGAAGAAAAAGAGATGTCGATATCAGTACACCGTCGATTGACAACAAGAGAATGACCGGAAGTGATCAGACTAGTAAGGGCCAGCTTACAGTGGGTCGGATAGGATCAGCGACGTTGGTAACGGAGGAAGCGGCAGAATCAAAGGGAAAAGAAGCGGCGATGTCTCTTTCTTCAATCTGAGACCCGCGAAGAGTGTGAGACTCGTTCTAGAACCCAGGAGTAGAGATGATAACAAGAATGGTAAAAGTCAATACGCAGGTAGTAGGACCGAACGAGCAGGGAGGGACTAGCACGACAAAAAGATGAAATGTGCTTACAAGATTGGGGATAAGAGGAGCAGCAGATTCGGACGAAGCATGAGTAGAGTTAGCAGGATCGACATTATCGCGGATAGGAGAATCGACGGTCATGGCCATATCGTCAGGCGCGAACTCGGACATGTTACACTAAAAGGATACACGGAAGATCGGTTGTGTTTGTAGGGATTAGGATCAGTAAAAGAAAAGCAGACTACGTTGTAGAATAGAACGGGAAGCCGGGGAGAATGAGGAGGAATGGAAGCGATGGTTCTCACCCTGAAACTAAGGAAGCCATGACCAATCGACTTGAGGAGCAAACCGCTGGAGGGATCAAGGCCGGCCTGCTGCTGTGAGCAAGTCAGCAATAGGTCCCAAGCCACAGATTGAAAAGAATAATAAAGTGACACACTTGAATTCGACCGCGAAGCCGAAGAGACGACATGAGGGGGCGAGTGAACTGGCTGGATCTGAGGTGGTGAC